TGGGGATAAAAGGGGTCCCAAAGCCTGCCCACTCTGTGTCCTCTGAGTCCTCTGAGCTGAGTCATCTTTGGATCCAGACTTGGCAGCTTCCTACCTCTAGCTAGTGCCTGGCAGCCTAGTTGGGAAGGACGTGGGTGAGTGTGGATGAGCGTGTGTGTGTGTATGAGAAAGAGCAAAGGTACCTTGCAACCAGTAAAGTTTTGCTGTTACTTTAAATTCAGTGGGTTGCCATGTATTACAAAGAACCTCTTGTGTCTCAGAGTTCAGTTGGAAGTGATTTGTGTGTATCCCTAATTATTTCCCGGCTGTTGACCAGGGCTGTGTTTTGTCTGCTCTAGCCACACTGATGTGGAAAACCCAGGTAGAAAGCAAGGGGGGCTGACAAGATTGGCATGCCTCAACAGGCTGTGAGTGTGTGAGTGACCATAAGCCAAACCTGGGAGCAGAGTGTGTAACACAGGTTCCTTTCCTTCCTATGGGGAAAAATATAGGAACAGGGAATATCAACTTCAGGAAGTTGTATTAGGCTGGCAGGGAAAGTGCTGTATACCACATCTCCCCCAATCCTCAGTAAATCCCTATTCTGTTTAATATCATAGTTTTCTGCAAGCTATTTTTACTTGAACAAAAAGTGAAGAAGAGATGAAAAGTGTGATTCAGCTCTCATCCCTAGTGACAGAAGATCATAACCCTGGCATGGAAGCACGGAGCATTATAACTGCTAATGCAAGCAAGTGAGAAAATAGTCCTTAGTAAAGCTGAAGTGAGAGACTAGCCCTTTATCTATACTTAAGGCTGAGAGACAACAGCAATTCACAATTTGTGAATGAGGGCATGCACTGCTGCTGTGCTTTATGGAGTGGCCAATAAAAATCAGGGGGGAAAACAAAAATATTTTGCAAGAAAATGTATTTTTTTCCCAATTACTCTGTACATACTATTACCTTCCATGTCATTTTTTTTTAAAAAAGAGAAACATTCCCTAAGGAAAAAAACACTTCAAAGAACTATCCTTTATACCTGTCACAAGCTTGGTTCTTCATTACAGATATTTCATTGTTACAAGAATGTGCAAGTTATGCTGAAGTAGCTCTTTCTGGACTATTATCTGAAGCTGAAATGCCTGAGTCAATCTAGATCAGTGTTGTCCAAACTTGGCCACTTTAAGATGAGTGGACTTCAACTCCCAGAATT